CACCACTGCACTCCAGCCTGGCGGCATAGCGAGACTCCGTCTCAAAAAAAAGAAAAAAAGAAAAGCAGAATGGAATCTCTCACCTTTTGATGCACAGACAACACACACACACACACACACACACACACGCATGCATGCGTGCACACTAACTGGTTCATTATTTTGAGCGCCAGTCTTTTCAGCATTTGGCTATAACTTAGGGGAAGATTCCAGGCCCATACCATCCTCTCTTGCGCACACCTTTCTTTCCAGGAGGGTGTACAACAACTTACTGGCAGAGTTTCGGAAATGGAACACAGAAACTGAAAGCTTTAGGGCCGGGCGCGGTGGCTCAAGCCTGTAATCCCAGCACTTTGGGAGGCCGAGGCGGGTGGATCATGAGGTCAAGAGATCGAGACCATGCTGGTCAACATGGTGAAACCCCGTATCTACTAAAAATACAAAAAATTAGCTGGGCATGGTGGCGCGTGCCTGTAATTCCAGCTACTCAGGAGGCTGAGGCAGGAGAATTGCCTGAACCCAGGAGGCGGAGGTTGCGGTGAGCCGAGATCGCGCCATTGCACTCCAGCCTGGGTAACAAGAGCGAAACTCCGTCTCAAAAAAAAAAAAAAAAAGAAAAGAAAGCTTTCTGCTTCTCCTTTCCCACAAGACTGGGCACCTCAAGGCCACAGATCTTCAACCCAAGGCTGCTCCGTCTGTGCAAAGATATCGATTAAGAAGCCCTCTTATGCCAGGCACTGAATCTTGTGTTCTTGGCACCTGCACAGTGCCTGGCATAGGGGCTTCTTAATCAGCACTTTCGCATGGACAAAGCATTAGGTTGAAGATTCTGAGCTTACGCACCATACATCAGAACAGAGGCTGCGCTGTCGGGGGACTTAGGAGGACTCAGGAGTGATCAAGCCAGATGGCTTGTCTGGGCTCCAGGGAATTAAAACATTTGCTACAGTGTCTCCAGCTGGTAATCAAGAAAACAGTCAGAGGACTCAAGGGTGGGCTGTTTAGCCTGCTTGATTGTTAAGGAACATCCCCCGTTTTCCAAGTTCCACTTAAGATACCTCATTTTAGATATTTAGTAGAAGTAAATCACCTTGAGTGAACCCAGATGACTAACTGGTGGCCATACGGCAAACTTGAGGAATGACTGGACGTTTGCAAGCGAACAGCCATAGAGCCTCGGCCCTGAGGGGTTCCTTGCTGGTGTTAGTGGGGGCGGAGGCTTCGCAGGAGCAGGACACCCTGCTGCTCCCGCCACACTCCATGCACACCGGGGCTTGGAATCTTCGCTCTATGCCTTGGCGGGTAGCCACTTTGGAGAAGACCTTAACTAGATTGGCCTCATTCTGATCTGTTTGCACCCCAGAGGCTGTCGAGCTTCAGAATGTCAGGGTTGTAGTACCAGGTCTCAGTCCTGCTCTGCATCGGCTCTTTCCAGTGCCCGGGGTCTCTGCAAGGGCTGGCCCACTTGTCAGAGGTGCTGACCAGGTTGTGGTGCTGGCTGCTGCCCTGAGCCGTGGGGATCCTCAGGATGGGCCCCTCAACTAGATCAGCACCAAGCAGCTGCCCTAAGACAGCTCTGTCACTGTCTCTCTCTCCATAGTGGGGTACTCCATGTGAAAACTTGAGATTGTCTAAGTATGCTTGTGTCTAGACAGCTCTGCTGCTAAATCTAACTCATCAGTAAATCCTTTCAGGTTCACCTCTGAAATAAATCCAGAATTGATGAAATTGGTGTATTTTCTTGTCCATTGTCTCTGAAAGCTGTGGGCCTCACACATGGAAGCCTCTGCTTGGCCTCTGATTGGGAGGGTGGTGATAGTTGCAGCATATTGAACCTGTTCCCTGGGCACTGTCAGCACACTGCCATCGTACTTTCTAGTCTCTCTGTCATGAGTGAGTCAGCCCAGGCAACTCTGTACAGGTTACCTATTCAGTTGTGCTGGAATAAATGTAATCTATTGTTACCATTACACTAAAGCATGGCTTAGAAAGTGGGTTGAGTAAGGAGACATTCAGCACTGCTTGCTCCGTGATGAAAATAACAGGTTATCGAACACCATGACAGTCTCAACTCTGTGGTTTTGTAGACATTTCCATACATTATTCAATGTGTACAGGGACTCCAGGGGATATGTATTGTCTTCCTCATCACATAGAGGGGAAACAGAAGTTCAGAAAGGCTGAGAATCTTGAGCACAATCACACAGTGGTTCGCGGTGGAGGCTGGTTAGAGACAGGACTGTCTCATTCCACAGCTTTTCATGCAGCCCCGCCAGGGAAAGGGAATCGAGTGATGTTTCTTCAGTTTGGAAGGTGAAAGTTTCTACCTTAATATTTTAGCACATTTCTTACCAAACATAATTAACATCAAAACCTAGGTGTATTAATAACATCTAAAATTTTAAGGCTGAAAGATGGATTAAGTCAGTATAAAGAAAGGTATGTCTCTTCTGTTCCTTTTGATCATGTAATCCCAGTACTTTGGGAGGCCGAGGTGGATGGATCACCTGAGGTCAGGAGTTAGAGACGAGCCTGGCCAACATGATGAAACATCGTCTCTACTAAAATACAAAAATTGGCCTGGTGTGGTGGCTCACACCTGTAATCCCAGCATTTTGGGAGGCTGAGGCAGGAGGATCACAAGGTCAGGATTTCAAGACCAGCCTGACCAACATGGTGAAACGCCGTCTCTACTAAAAATACAAAAATTAGCCGAGCATGGTGGTGCACACCTGTAATCCCAGCTACTCAGGAGGTTGAGGCTGGAGAAGCCCTTGAACCTAGGAGTTGGAGGTTGCAGTGAACTGAGATCACACCACTGCACTCTAGCCTGGGTGAGAGTGAGACTCCCTTCTCAAAAAAAAAAAAAAAAAAAAAAAAAAAAAAAAATCAACTTTTGCCCTGTCCCGAGGGCGGCAGCTTGCTAACTCCTCTGTGGTGTTGTACGATATATGGCGCACACCATAACCCACAGGACGTGTCTTTTGTGGGGCTTCTAAATAGTTTGTGGTGGCCTAACAGGATGGAAATAGAGAGTCCCATCCCAGGTGACCATTTCTGGGTCTAGACACCCACATCACCATCAAAGTTGTCGTTTCCTTTTAGCAGCAGGTCATCAGAGGCCAGCCACTAGGACCCACTGGGCTCTTGCAGGATGGAAGTGTGAATAGCACATCTCCATGAGAGCGCTTTTCCCCAGCAGAAGCCATGACGGACTGCATGGGGCCTCTCACCTTCCCAGGGCCAGCGGCTACTGCTCTAGAGCCTCCTGGCTACAGAACCAATCATCATGTATAGCTCCTTCATATTGCTACATGTTTGGAATGAGTTCAGGTAAATATAATTTAAAACAATATCACGGGCACTGCACATGGGAAGCCTCACACCTACACCAGTAAGTTCACTCACCCATAAGGATGTGGCGTCCTCTGGGGCAGCACTTCTGATTTTACAGCTAAGTTCTCTTGGAGAGAATATGCATGTTGGATTTTTTTTTTTTTTGAGACGGAGTTTCGCTCTTGTTACCCAGGCTGGAGTGCAATGGCACAATCTCGGCTCACCGCAACCTCCGCCTCCTGGGTTCAGGCAATTCTCCTGCCTCAGCCTCCCGAGTAGCTGGGATTACAGGTGTGAGCCACCGTGCCCAGCCGCAGGATGGATTTGTGTGAAAAACAAATTCCATCAGAAAACGGAGATGCTAAACTTGGAAGGTATCTGCCTTTTCTACCCATGTGAGGAAAGAAGTTTCTTGTTTTTTTTAAAGTAGGGTAGAGACCACCTTCCATTCTGCCAATGGGTTGGGGGACTCGACTTACCCTGTGCTGAGCTTGAGCTGCAGAGAGGCATGGGAGTGCTGGGGAGAAGAGGAGTGAGGGCTGTATGGAAGCCGCGGCTCCCCTCACTGTGGGCATCTTAGGTTTAGGGCTGCCCCGACAGCCCACAGCCCTGGCCCAATCACTGTCCCATCGATCAAGGAGCATCTTGGTCAATTCCAAAATTAAGGTGAAATGATAAACATCCATCAGCTAAAAAGCAGTTCTTGTGTCTCTGCTGCCCCCTCCACCCCACAGAAGCCCTGGTCTTCCTCAGTGTTGGGGAGGCTGATGTGGATGCCTGGCGGGTGACAGCCAAACTGAGCCCTGGGGACCCAGGACTGCTCTGAGAGTCCCCAGAAGGGACCTGTTAGTGGCTAAGCTCATGCACCTGCGTCAGCCTCAAGAAGATCTCTGGCAAGTGCCCCTGCCTGTCTTGGCCTCAAAGTCGGGGGTGTGGCAGGGAGTACGGAGGGCACTCAGCATGTCTTCTGGTCTGGGTTTTACTCCCAGCTCACACCAGCCGTGCCCGGAGATCCCTCTGGGCTCCATAGCCTGCTCTGTGAGTGGAGACTCCTGTTTGCCTCAACCGTAGAGCTCAGCAGAGTGGGCTGAGCTGTCTCGGAAAATTCGGATTCAAATGAGTATCTGGCAAACGACTGTTTGAGAAGGATCTTAACCTCATGCCTGGGACTGCTACATTTTCTAGCATTTGACATTTTCGGGGATCAGGAATTACCGTATTTTGTAATATCGTAATGTCACAAAACTGAGTGAGATCTGCAGAAAGGAGGTGCACAAATTAGTGTCACACAGCTGCATGGCGGGCTTAGCGAGCGCACGCTTGGGGGGCACCCGGAAACCGTTTGGATGGTGGGAGGAGGATCCTCAGGACCCTGAACACCCTCGACTGCTCGAGGCTGCCTTCCCAACTCCTGCCCTCTGCACTGAGAACCAGGGCCCCCTTGCCTTCTGGCCCCACATGGGCAGGGTGGGTACAACCTGGACCTCTAGCTGAAAGGTGAGGAGGGCTCCAAGGTCCATGGCCTTGATGTCGTGTGTTCTGGGACCGTCCCGAGGCATCTGGTATGCACCCCTTCTCCTCTTTTTCTATACAGTCTCCAGCAGCCCTGGGAGATGGCTCTGACACCTTCTTCATGGGCCCCTGGGCTCCTTCCTCTGTTTCAGGGTTCCAAGGTCCTGGCCAAGAAAGAGCTGGCCTACGTCCCGATCATCGGCTGGATGTGGTACTTCACCGAGATGGTCTTCTGCACGCGCAAGTGGGAGCAGGATCGCAAGACGGTCGCCACCAGCCTACAGCACCTCCGGGACTACCCCGAGAAATATTTTGTATGTCGGCCCCAGAGCAGCTATGTCCTAAGCGTTCCTGCAGGATTGTGACTGTGGCACCCTGTGTGACTTCCACAGGACACATGACTGTGGGGATGTGTGTGACCCCAGGGCTGTGTGTGACCTCAGGGTTGTATGTGACCATGGGGCTGTGTGTGACCACGGGGCCACATGTGACTGGGGCCGCGTGTGACTGTGGGGTCATGTGTGACCCCAGGGATGTGACCATGGGGCCACATGTGACTGGGGCTGCGTGTGACTGTGGGGTCATGTGTAACCCCAGGGATGTGTGTGGCCACGGGGCCGTGTATGCCTGTGGGGCGATGTGTGCTCATAGGGCCTTTTGTGACCTCAGGACTGTATGTGACCATGGTGCCATGTGTGACCATGGTGCCATGTGTGACTGCTGCGTCCTGCCTTCCAGTTCCTGATCCACTGTGAGGGCACACGGTTCACGGAGAAGAAGCACGAGATCAGCATGCAGGTGGCCCGGGCCAAGGGGCTGCCTAGCCTCAAGCACCACCTGTTGCCGCGAACCAAGGGCTTCGCCATCACTGTGAGGAGCTTGAGAAATGTAGGTAAGGAAGAGTGTGTGGCCCTGGGCCTCCATGGCAGCAAGGAAGACAAGCCCCCAGCTCCGGATGAGCAGAGCTTGCTTCCTGCCGGCACTTCCCAGCTTACATGAGGCTATGAACTCAGAGTGGCTGCTCAAGTCTGGTCTTTGGGACTGGGAACCAAGGGTAGATGGCACCCGGGGTAGGCCTGCACCTACTTTTCCTGGGGTGCCCGGGCCAGCACTACCCTTTACTGTTTAAATATGCTGAGTGCCTGCATATGGCACATGGGGTAACCTGGCTCCAGGCTTGCAGGCATGAGGCAGCACAGTTGGGTTTGAAGGTGATTTCTTGCCCGCCCATTGGCATTGGCTGAACTCTGAGCTTGTGGCCCATCGCAGCTGGCCTCAGAGTCTCGAGCCCTGAGTGGCCAGTGGTAAAAAGAAGAAAATAGCAGCAGCTTGCCTCTGGCCTCTTGTCATGCTTTTGTCATCTTTTCAACCCGCCTCACTCCAGTTCAGAAACACCCTCTGTCTCCTGTACAGCCGGCCTCCCTCCCAACCCTCACAGTCCCTTGGCCCTTTCCCTGGGCTCCAGGACCTGGGGGCAGCTTCCTCCTGCTCCTTCTCAGGGAAAGCACTTCGGCTGAGTCTGGCTCCGTCCTGCAGGGAGCGAGAACCCAGCTGAATGTGGCGTCCAGCCCCAGGCTGCCTCCTTCCTCCGCCTTATCCTCCTGTCTCACTTCCAAGACTAAGGGCAGGGGGTCCTGAACTCCTCTCTGGACCTGCGTCAGGGGCCCCTCAGTTTCTCCAGCCCTGCCTGACCTCCTACCAGGACCTCTGGAGCAACAGGGCTGGTGAATCTACCTCTAACAAGTCCCCAAGTGGCCTACCAGCTGCAGCAGTGGTTTCAGGCCCCCGGGCAGCACTCCCTCCTGGCCTCTGCCTGTTAAACACACTAACCCCTGCACACCCAGGCCAGTGCCAGCCCCACTTCCTTCTGGGGCTGCAGGAACCCAGGCCAGGCGGGCTATGCCCTGGGCCTTCTCTCCCCTCTGTGTGCCCGCCCTGCCCTTCTTACCCTTGTTTACCAGCTTCTTCTTGCCCACATTCTTCCCTTGCTTCCTCATTCCCCTTCTGGTCACCAGCGTTCCCTGATGACCCTCTATTGGCACAACGCCATGCACTCCACACACACTGTCACCACCAGTCCCCACGACATCCTGGCAGGCAGCTTTCACTCCCAGAGACAGGAGAGAAAAGCAGGCTCTGGAGTCTCCATAGCTCACTCAGGCTTGCAGAACCGAGGGCCCATGGGCGACCACCTCTGTGCTCCGTCCCCTCTGCCCAGCCTCTTAGAAAGTTGGCGGCACAGAGGGGCACTAGCCGTCTAAAAGTCTCGTTTGCTCTGGGCTCAGCCTGAGGGCCAGAACTCGCCTGCCCCCTGCTGTCCCTGTCTCCACACTGACCCTGGGCCCCAGGGCCAAGGACGCCTCCATTGCTCACCCTCCTCCATCCCCCAGTCTGCTGCGCGCTACCCTCTCCAGTGGAGTCAAGACCGTGTGGACTCCCTCATCAGGAGACCTCACTGAATCCTGTTTCCTCTGCTGACCAGCTGTGCGACCCTGGGCAAGTGACCTTACCTCTCTGGTTCTAAGTTTGCTCTGAGTTCTACAAAATCTGTCCGGGTTGCGAGGATGCTTCAGTGAGAAAGCTGGTTGGACCAGTGGGCTTCCCAACTGAGCTTGGCCTCAGTTTTGCATCTGCAAGGCCATCCAGCTCTCTGCTGTTCATCACAGGGCATTAACAAGGCTCTCCCTAGTAACAGCCACCACCAGCCCCGGGTGCCTCTGACATGCCAGGCCCTGCACACACTGTATAGGTATCCTCACAGGTCTCAGGAAGGTAGATTGCTTTTTCTTTTTGCTTTCAGTTCACAGATAAGGACATTGGGGCTCAGAGAGGTGAAGGAGCGGGTGCACTGTGACTCAGCTGGTACGTGGCGAGCTGGGATTCACTCCTGGCTGGCAGGGGCTGGTCTCCTTCTGATGGGTCTTGCGGTTAGAATCAAGCTGGCTCTCCATTCAAGACACGTTTCTTGTGGTTTTCCTCTGGAAAACGAAAGAATTATGCAAGTTGCTGGTTTTTAGGCGGTTCTTTGGGGAAGCTGTGGGTTCTCCCCACCTTTGCTTAACCAGGGTCGGCCTCTTCTGTTGTCTGCATGGGTTCCTGTGTGAGCGAGTCAGAGGAAAGGAAGTATCAAAGCCGCTGAACTATGTGAGCTCCATGGGCCTTTCTTCCTGGGAAGCCCTAGGATGCTACAGTCATGGTCCACACAGCCTGAACGACTGTTCTATAGATGCCCATTTATGCTTGAAAATGCCTGGGAAACGTGGTAGGCATCGAGGTTCTCTGCCAGCAGCCCTGACCAGGCAGCTGCCCCTTGGCAGGGCTCAGGACAGTCCCACCTCTAGCCCAAGGTGCAGGCGAGTGGTGTCGGACACTCCTGCCCCGTTCCCAGGCCCTCCTGCAGGCAAGCAGGAGGACCCCCACCCACTGGCACAGACAGTTGACCTGCAGACCCTGCACGGTGGTCAGGCAGCAGGGAGAAGAAAACAGACGGTGATTTATTGTTTCTGAATCTTGGTTCTACATGTTCCCAACCAGACCGAGTGCCTTTCCTCCTCCCTGCCATTCTCCCACTCCCTTTACTAATCCTTGCATGTGTGTAAAGCTCCCAGTGAAGTGTCTGGCTCACTTATTGAACACAAACCACGTGCTGGGCCCTGCAGTAAGTGCCTGACCTCTGTCATCTCAGCAGCTGTGTGACAGAGGCTCCCTTCTCCAGGAGACCTGGCCCCAGCCGGCCGGGAGAAGATCCCACCACTGGGATGAGGTGGCAGCCACTGGGGTTCCCACCTGTTCCTCCTACCGTCCTGTGCTCTCACACTTCAGCAAGTGGCCACTGTTTCCAATGTGCATTTATCTACTCTATTCCATCACTTGTTCCTTCCTGTATTCTCCCATCCTTTGATCCAGTGAGCATTTTTACTGAGTACCGGCCAGGTCCCGGGGCTGTGGCAGGAATTTTGAGGTAACTTCTAATACCCTGATAGGTTAACTCACCATTGGGTAGACGTGTTAAACTCAGAGATACTTGTTGCTTCTCAGCCAAGCTTCAACTGACTACAGTCCCATTCCTCATCAGTATCTTATCCTAGGATAATTTGTAGCTATCTTATTTTCCTAGGGGAAAATAATGCTCATAGAATGGATATGCTGCTGTAACTGAGGTACATCCTTAGTTTCCTTTGGAATAATTTTTTTAATTCACATTTGTTTAAATTTCGGTGTTTGTTGACTAAAATGATAGGCTGGGCACACTGGAAAGTTACAGATCATTGTTGTAGTACCTCTACACCTGACTTTGCAGTATTGTTTTAAAAGTAATCTGGGCTGGGTATGGTGGCTCATGCTTGTATTTCCAGCACTTTGGGAGGCCGAGGCAGGCAAATCACTTGAGGTCAGGAGTTCGAGACCAGCCTGGCCAACATGGTGAAACCCTGTCTCTACCTAAAATACAAAAATTAGCCGAGCACAGTGGTGGGTGACTATCATCCCATTTACTTGGGAGGCTGAGGCAGGAGAATTGCTTGAACCCAAGAGGCAGAGGTAATAGTGAGCCAAGATTGCACCACTGCACTCCAGCCTGGGTGACAAAGTGATACTCCATTTCCAAGAAAAAAAATACAAAAAAAGAACCCTAACCACACCATTTCCTGGTAACCTTAGTTAGCGGTTTGATTATTGTCTTCCATTGTGTGTATCTACAGAACAAAATTGGGTTCACACGCTATATACTGCTTTGTATTTGTTTTATTTTTTATAGTTTCAGCTGTATATGACTGTACACTCAATTTCAGAAACAATGAAAATCCAACACTGCTGGGAGTCCTAAACGGAAAGAAATATCATGCAGATTTGTATGTTAGGTAAGTCAAACTATTTCCTTTCCAGAAAAGACAGTGCCCATCTTAAAGTGAACACATCACAGATGACCTAGAGACTTCCTTCCAGGGACCCCGGGTCACACGGACTTGTTTGCAATGTTTTGCGCTGAACTTGTACACGTTCTGCTATTGTGAGCCATCTGCTGAAGTCTCCTTCCATGCCAGCTACTTCTGGATCCTCTTTAACCAGCTCTTTCTTATCAAAGAGCTTAGGCCAAACAAAGGGAAGGCCATGTTTTAGAATTATTTTGGCGTCAGTGTGAAGAGAATATCTTATTGACCCTTTTCCTGGGTGACGGGTGTGCTGTATGGAATACACACAGATCTGTATTTATATAAGGTGTTCTAGGCACAAATGCAAAACCCTTTTGCAGTGTCGCACTTTTGTGTTATGTTCCAGGCTATTAATGATTTTATTGAACACACTTCCAGACATGTTAGTCGAATTAGTTCTCCTTGCCTGCTTGTTGACTTATAGAATGGGCCTAGTGTGACCTGGGCCAGGGATGGTCTTGGCTTGTCGTGCTATAGGTCATCTTCTCTGAATGCTAACTGAGAGAATCTGAAATGCCCACTAATGCAGAACTAACCCAGTGGCATAGAACCTTCTGATTAAAGACCTTACGGAAGCCAAGTTACAACACGGCACCATGAAAATCCAGTGGCCCTTTGTTCCCACCAGGCCACACCAAATGTCCAAGCTTTTCTGGGAGATGTTTTGGTGGACTGGCAGCCAGAGTTAAGTAGCTTCTGATCTAAAAACGACTCTGGCTTTCCCATAAAAATAGGACAACATCGTCACCATCACTGTCTTCTTGTCTCATGATGCAGGCGAGAGTGTGCCCTGTGACTCGGTTCTGTGGCATATGAAGGCAGGAGGATCACCACTTGCCTAAAGGGGACCTTTAGACCTTCTCCTAGGAATAAAGCGAGGTTTTATTCCCCGTGTTCTCTGAAAGCTGGCAGGAGCTCCACTTGATGGCCAGTTGGGCTCAGATATTTGGGAAAACCCCAAGACACGTGCAAGGTTATTTCCTCTCAGGTAGCTGCGACTTTCCAAAGCATGTGTGAGAATCAGCCCAGAAATGATACTGGCATGTTCACTCACCGAAGCCAGATCACACTCTTGACCCCAGAGGAAGGTTAGCATTGATGCTGTTCAACACACATCTTCTCTTCTTGTAGTTGCCTATTAAAAATGATTGAGGCATTTTCTGAACATACATCAGTACAGAGCACTGAAACATCAAGGGCAATAATGTCAAGTTGCTGAAAAGAGCCCAACATTCCCACTATCCAACTAAAGAAATACTGTGCAGACTCAAGCGCTGATTTCCAAAGCAGAGTAGATCAGAGAGCAAAGAAGTAGAGGATTCACAGAAGTACAGTGTGTGTAGGAACAAAAAAGGTGAAAGACTATTTCCAGAGAAGCTTACGGGGTAAGTTCTAATTATGTGAAAAACTTACCTCTGTACAATACTGCCTTGCAAAAGAAGTGGCTCATTATAATTTGTTGTAAGATGGAATCCCATCATTTATTCTTTTAACAGACTCTAGTGTGACTGATAAGCTCTAAAGCCTTCTTACTAAGATATTCCTAGGCCACAGAAGGCAGTGAAATGACCCGGGAAGTCAAGCCAGATGCGGACTTTGACATGGACAAAACTGAGTATAAATGAACATCCCCTGAAATCACAAGAGCCAAAAACCTGAGAACAAATAGGAAGGCAGAGGTGGCAGTGACTTCTCCCGTGTTCAGTGTGGGCTTTCTGCAGATGACAGAGTGGCAAGCCCCTGCCAGTGGCAGTCTCCAGAGCCACCCGAGTCTCTGAGCTGTCGCTGGTGCACAGTGACTCGCTGTGCACAGACTCCCTGCCTGAGCCATGGAGCCTGGGGAAGATGCCCTGGCTTCTTCCATCTGGAAGAACCTTAATTCTCCACCATCCATGCCACTGCCTTGTCAGAACCTTTGCAGAGTCTGCCTTAAGGCCAACCAAGAGGCCAAAGGCATCATTTAATGGGAGATAATCTGGCATTACCAGGAAGTCGGTTGCTTGGCTAAGAAATTACTAGTGTATTATCTCCGATGCATCAGTTCTATGTAGATTGGATTGTTTCATGTGGAAACTGAGGCTGTGTTGTCCTCTTTGGGAGAGGCAAATATCAGGTTTTGGGGTCTTTTTGTGAGGTGGGAGGGAGGATGGAATGAGGCGATGTTCCCTGTTCTGACAGCATCTGTCTGTACCACTGAACTGGGCCCGGCGTTGGTCCTTAATGGGTCATAATTGCATTTTGGCCTGTGTTTTCCCCAGTGTAGATGTGGAATGCCCCTTCTCTCTATCACCTGCGTTATTCTCTTCACTTCCACATGAGTTAGGCTACCTAGACAAAAACAACAAAATGGCAACACCATTCCTGGAAAGTGTATGTTGGGAGGTGGGCGTTGCCTCCTCCCTGCCAGCTGCTCTCTGCCTTTGCAGGAGAATTCCACTGGAAGACATCCCTGAAGACGATGCCAAGTGCTCGGCCTGGCTGCACAAACTCTACCAGGAGAAGGTCAGTGCACTGGGCACCAGGGGTCCCTTCATGTCACAGCTGTGGACGCGCCGTGCTGCCGTGTGGTGGCACAGGCATTTTCCTGGTAGGTGAGATCTCACAGCCAGTTATTAACGAGTCTGCAGCCAGCCCTCTCTCAGCAATAAAGAACATTATCTTTTAAGGAGGGGCTGGGCACAGTGGCCTATGCCAGTAATCCCAGCGCTTTGGGAGGCTGAGGATGGAGGATCACTTGAGGCTAGGGGTTTGAAACCAGTCTGGGCAACATAATGAGAGCCTCTCTTTACAAAAAATTAAAAAAATTAGCTGGGCCTAGGGGTGTGCACCTGTAGTCCCAGCTACTGGGGAAGATGAAGTGGGAGGACCGCTTGAGTCTACGAGTTCGAGGTTACAGTGAGCTATGATTGTGCTGCTGCACTCTAGCCTGGGCAACAGAGCAAGACCCTGTCTCTAAAGACAAGTAAGTGAAAGCAAGCTACATCCAGAGCTGTCTTGTGGAGGCCAAAGTCGGGAGCAGCTCTGGGTGGCACGCAGGCATGGTAGCCAGTGGGAAGCAGTGTGCCCCCTGCTCTGGCCCTCAAGGACAAGGACCACTTTTAGGACTGGCAGTTGTTTTTTCACTTAAACCGGAAGGGTCATGCTCCTTAGAGGGGCAGCAGTGGCCTCAAGGCTCGGCGCCCCAGTAAGTCCTTTGCAAGTCCTGGCCGTGCACTCGGGTGATGCCTGTGGCCTGAGGCCGAGGCTTGCGAGGACTCCTCATGGAGCCTGCCCCACCCACACCTGCTAAGAGGAGCCCCTTCTTCCCTTCTGTTCCCCCGCTTTCTCTTCTGTTCTTTTTTCATTCCTGTTCTTCCTCCCCTCCTTCCTTCCCCGGGGCCCTAAGACACATTATCTTTGCTGAGCTGAGCGGCTGGGAAGCTGAGCAGATGTGCTCTGTGCAGGTCTCCTCCGGTGAGCCTTTGTTGCCGGCTGCAGGAGGTGTTTGTCCCGGGAATCTGCCCCATCAGTAGGATCTCGTCCTCCTTTCAGCTTGTGGGTTGATGCTTCTTTCTGGAAACAAACAGACTCTCCTTCGTTCAGTGACTCCATTTCCCAATTCCAACTTTATACTGTGCCAGACAGTAACATACAGAAACAAAAACACGAAGTCCTTTCCCTGTGGGGCAAATTTTACTACAAAATGAGTTGTAGGACCAAGATTGGTCGTGGACATTCTGCTTTGGGAGCCTGAAGTGTGGCCGGAGCTGGCTGCCCTGGTCTCTCCCCGGCTGTCTGTGGGAGGTCCTGTGGCAATGTCATGGGCCAAAAGTGAAGGGTGGGGGTGAGATTTAGTGTTTTAAACCAGAGAGAAAGAAAACTTTAAAGTGAATGGGGCCAAATGTGGTGGCTCACACCTGTAATCCCAACACGTTGGGAAGCTGAGGCAGATCACCTGAGCTCAAGTGTTCGAGACCAGCCTGGCCAACATGGTGAAACCCCGTCTCTACAAAAATACAAAGCCAGGCATCATGGCGGGTGCCTGTAATCCCAGCTACTGGGAGGCTGAGGCGGCAGAATCCCTTGAACCCAGCAGGTGGAGGTTGCAGTGAGCAGAGATGGTGCCTTTGCACTCCAGCCTGTGTGACAGAGCAAGACTCTGTCTCAAAAAATAAAGTGCATGGGAAGTTCTGAGCTGTACAGCTCACAGAAAAGGGAGTGCTTTCTTTTTCTTGCTATTGATGCAGATACAAAAATCTTGGCCTAGCAAATGTCTTTCTGGAAACAAGACAGAAAAAGGCACGATGATGAGTTCCCCTCTGTGATATTACCATAAAAAAGTACTATAAAGACTATTACGGAAAATTCTTTCAAAAACCACATTTGCCCATTTTTAAAATGGGTTTTATGGCACGGAAATGACACCTTAAGAAAGCCATATATATATATATATATATATATATTTTAACAAGGTGCAAAAATATCACCCCCTTGCCTAGTTCCCAGGTGTCCCATGGCCCCAATCCAGGAGAAGAAAAAGCAGGCCAGGCTGGTGGGCAGGCGGAGTGCTGCTTCCTTCCCTGGCAGGGTTGGGTGCCACCTCTCTGGGCGTCGCCTATGCTGCTGTCATGGTGCTCACCTCTTTGTGTGAAATTGCTCGGTCTCCTCCACCATCTGATCGCTCTCACTGCTTGAGGGTGTGCTTGGCACACATTGATTATTCTCTAACTGCTTGATGATGTGGCTTCCCTTGGCTGATGTCCAAGAGCAGAGTCACATGACAAGTGACGCTTTGGACCAGGCTTGTGAATGGGCTGCAGGGGGCCGAGGACAGAGCAGAGGCACCTGAACTGCCCAGGGAAGGGCTGGGGGTTCTCCTTCCCAAATGGCCTCATTAGTGACTAATACTAAAAGTGACTCCGAGAGGCGAAGGAAGCCTGTGATTCAGTACACCCTGAATGGAAAAGAAAAGTGTGAGGTACTTCAGACTTTTCTATCTATCTCAAGTTGTTAAAGGAAAACAGCATAAATTTCAATTATATGGAAGCTCATTTTCCAGAAAACTTGACTCCTTAGAGAACTGGGAAATTACCGGGCTAGTTCATGGGACACAAACTGGACCTCGCCGTGACTCACGCGTTTTGTGTGTCAGCCACGTGCAACTTTCACAATAGCTGAGGCAGCTGCCCACGCTACAACCTGGGCAACTCCCTGTGGCTGCCTGGCTCAGCTCTGCTCCCCTCCTCACGGCCAGCACCACCCCTGGTGCATGTGGGCTGCCCCGCAGGAGCCGAGGAGAACTGGCTGCGGAGAAGGCCGGGCCGGGTGGCGAGCTCCTCCCTGACTGCCGGCCAGGTTTCCATGGAGTATCCACTCCCATCTCCCACTGACTTGCTGTAGAAGGCACTGCTGCCCCATGAGACAGACCGGGGCCTGGGCTCAGGGATGCAGGCGCTTGCCCGCAGCAGGTGGATCCTAGCCCAGGCTGGCCTGGCGCCAGTGCTCATGCTCCATGCCCTGCACTCAGTGACAGCTACAGCAGCCCTGCCACTCCCAGTGTCCCTGTGGGAGGGGGCAGCTGGTTACAGCATCGAGAAGACAGCAGCTGCCCACTAAGCACTCTCTGGAAGGAGCCACAGACCCCAGTTCTGCCGAACCCCATTGGCACCCGTGTGTGTCTGTGATTCCCTCAGAAGTGGGGCCTTAGGAGGGACCTGCCACCAAGCCCCGTGTGGCGTCTGAGGGTCCCCTTTCTATCCCCTAGGATGCCTTTCAGGAGGAGTACTACAGGACGGGCACCTTCCCGGAGACGCCTATGGTGCCCCCCAGGCGGCCCTGGACCCTGGTGAACTGGCTGTTTTGGGCCTCATTGATGCTCTACCCTTTCTTCCAGTTCTTGGTCAGCATGATCAGGAGCGGGTCTTCCCTGACGCTGGCCAGCTTCATCCTCGTCTTCTTCGTGGGTGAGTGGAGGGCAAGGGGCTGTGACAGCGCTGCCCGGGAGAGGTGGCACCAGGGCTGGGGCCCAGGTCATCTGTGTAGGCAGTTGTGCCATGGATGAGGAGCAGGCTCAGACTGCAATCACAGGGAAACTAGACTTCAGGATGAGTACAAGGCCCTCGAATACCAGGTCTGGGACTCACTCCATAGCCTGGATGACCCAGCCTCCCACCCGGCGCTGGATTCCACACGTTCCCTGCTGGGTGGTGACACAGCTGCCACTTCCACTCCCAACAGTTGGGAGTGCTCCCTCCCTATCCTCTGCTCACTGGTGTCATTTCCTGCTTCTGAGCAAAGCCCTGTGCTGGAGCCCGGTGGGGACAGATAGGCAGCTCCCTGCCTTCCTTTGGGGCGCCTGTGGCTGCTCCTTTGCTGCAGGTGGACAACAGTGAGTGTAGGCTCGGTGACAGAGCATTCCACTGATCCGCGCCGGCTCCAGATGACCAGTATTCTTGGGCTACTGCTGCTTCTTGGCGCCAAGCCTCTGTGCACGCTGCTCCTTGCCTCTGTGGTGGTCAGCCATGCCATGCCTGCTTCCTGCCCTATGAACAGCAGACTCGTGCTTCCTGGAGCCAAGGAAGACTTTGGGGTTTCCCGGTGAAAGGCCCTGTCTCCCCGAGCCTGGCACCCTCTCTGAGGCTTCAGAGAGCCCTGGAGATGGCACATTGTCCGAACACACAGAGATCGCATGCTTCCTTCAAATGGACGGGTCTCAGGGTTTCAGTTATTTTCTGTGAAACACAAAGATGCTCTGTGCTCACCATAGAAGACCCAAGCAATATAAAAGTGTAGACAGTTGAAAGCTTGTCAGGACACAATTCCCCCGTTGAGGCTCCTGGTCTGTCCTTTATAAAACTTGCCAAATGTGCCCTGTTAAGTTCCTGCCCCTCATTCACAAGAGAATCCTCTTTACCTAGGGGCCAGCAGAGGCAGCCAAGGATTTCTCTGAGTCCTGGTGAATAGCTGTGCATGGCTTGCCAAATCATTCACCTTCAAGGTCCAAGAAGGAAACCCACAACCAGAGCAGCCTTGCTTTGTCTTAATGTCATAAATGTCTACTACACTCAAGAGTGACTGTGAAGCACCTCAGACCCACCAGCTCTCAGCTGATGCTTACGATTCGCAGCCCCAGGCCTTCTCACATGCTCTGTGGGCAAATGACCCTGTGGTCTGTTTGGTCCACTCCTAACTCTGCTCTCCTTGTCTCTGCAGCCTCCATGGGAGTTCGATGGATGATTGGTGTGACGGAAATTGACAAGGGCTCTGCCTACGGCAACTCTGACAGCAAGCAGAAACAGAATGACTGACTCAGGGATGTGTCGCCATCCGAAAGGAACCTTGGGGAACTGGTGGCCTCTGCATATCCTCCTTAGTGGGACACGGTGAAGAAGGCTGGTGAGCCCCTGCTGGGCACGGCGGAAGTCACGGCCTCTCCAGCCAGGGAGTCTGGTCTGAAGGCTGGATGGGGAGGAAGATGTTCTGTAATCTTTTATTCCCCACGTGCTTTTGTGGGCTTTGGTTTTCTTTTTGTGTGAGTGTGTGTGAGTGGCTGTGTGGTGAGCCTGAGCTTTGTTCTGTGATAATGGAAAGGGTATTTTAGGCTGCAGGGGAGGGCAGGGCTGGGGACCGAAGGGGACAAGTTACCCTTTCATCCTTTGGTGCTGAGTTTTCTGTAACCCTTGGTTGCCAGAGACAAAGTGAAAAGTGCTTTAGGTAAGATGACTAAATTATGCCTCCAAAAAAAAATTAAAGTGCTTGTCTGGGTCATCTGTGGAGTATGTCTACACAGTACTGCCCCTCATCCTGCCCTTGGCCATGGCTTTGGTGTTTCAGATCCTGCTCACAGGAGGCAGCTGCTGCAGAGGCATGGGCAGTTCAGAGGGGTGGGGAGGCCAGCACAGCTCCTTGCAAGAGACACAGGTCCAGGTGCTCGTGAGCATTTGTGAGGGCAGAAACAGCGAGCACGTGCGTGGAAGATGACCAACCTAGCACATTCTTGGCACACAGCAAGGGAGAGTTTCTCTCAGTCTCTGCAGTGGAGTTTCTCGGCATAAAAGTCTTGAAGATGTGCCCAACTCTCTGAAGAAACTGATCTTCAGGTTGAATGAATGTACAGCCTGGGGACTCCAGTGATTTGAGAGATGGGCTTGCATTAACAACTGTTCCTCTCAGCAGTGACAGCCAAAGTTGGATCCCCTAAAGAAATGCAGGTTCACTTTATAAAAATACCTGGCCCTTCCCAGCATGTAGAGCTTGTCTATGCCCTAAAGCAGCCAGGTTCTGCTCTGATCAAGGTCAAATCAGAGCCAACATCCCATGTATGAACCCCAGCCCCCCGAGGCTTCTGCCTTCCTTCTGGGCTCCTGCCTGCTCCCATTTTACTCCACGGAAGAGTTCTGCCCCATAGCATCTCCAGTGGCCTTTGCAGACTGCTGTCAGCCAACAGGTGCCCAAAATGCAAAACAAGAAGGAAGAAAAAGCAGTGCTATTTTTGCAGAACAATTAAATACCAGCTATTATGTCGTCTTAGGCCGAGTCACCAATGGCACTTGGACAGAGGTGTATTTGGAGCATGAGTTAGGCAGGATACATCGCTCTCCTGGTGTGCAGCTGCAAACTGCCAAGTAGAAGCTGCATGTGTAACATGAGAAGGAATGAACTGCTCCCTACGAAAGTGGCCAAAGAGTCTAAGGCATATCCTATGCAGTCGTCATGGTTTTGGCTGTTTGCTTATTTAGTCACTGTTTACCAAGCACAACCAAACTAGATAGGCCAAGGAGTTACAAGAGAGCGCTAGAGAAGATCCCTCACTGCGGGACAGTAATGCATTGTTGACACAAATGAATTTGAATCCACAGAAGCGAAAAAGGGAACAAATCCTGGCTGACTTGTGGGAAGCGCATACTGCAGAGCTGGACGCTGAGTAAACTTGCTGGCAGCGCTGCAGGCAGGCCTGATGGGAGCGCCCAGCACAACTGCCCACCCTGCACACGGCAAGAAGCACTGAGTGCAGAGTTTTGTGGGCAAAAGCCCAGGACGTGACCCAGGCAAAATGGGCCTTTGGATAAGTGGAGGTTTGCACGGTGTGTAGCCTGTGTGTCTGAGGCCTGTGCTGATTCTCTGGCTGGTCCCAGAGGGCCCGTGATGCTGTGAGGAACGCCGTTCACCCCGGTTCTGCAGCTCATCGGCTGTAGGACTTGGGTGAGACACTTCCTTGCTGACTTGTTCCCCATTCGCACAATGGGGGTAATGATACCTACCTCTTGGGCTGGAAAGGGTAAAAGAGGCACACTTCTTTAAGAATCCTAAAGCACTAATCTGAGGATGAAAGACTAGAAAGCTGCCTCTATGTTGCTACTTCTAAAAAATGCTCAGAAATTTTCTTGTCGTACTAAAAATGTGTCATTTTCTCGTTGTCATTCTTCCATTCAACACAGAGGTAACATAAGTTCTAAAAACACAGATCCAGGTGCCCACAGACATTCCATTTTCTTCTGAATTGGCTCTGGTATCACACAAAACACAAGCAAGCAAACAGGTGGCCTGCTAGGGCCTTAGGTGCCAGGCTGGAGGAATGCAGGCAGAAGAATTCTCCCAGGAGGTAACTAAGCCCTAGGTTTTGAAATGCCCTAGAGCTGAAAGAGAATGTGGCATGCTGGGGGAGAGACATCTGGACCTTTCTCATCAGTCATTTGGCCTGTCCATGAAGAACAATGTTGTTATGTGGCCTGGGGACCTAGTTTCCTTGTACCCTGCACCCTTAATGACACAGACAGCCGCAGGTACTCCTGGCCAGCTCTTCACTCTTCCTCAAATCTCTTCACCCATGTTCAGGTCACACAGAGGTCACCATCTCTTCAGCAAAGAACTTTGGCTCCCATGGTGTTAATTTTTCTATGAGTTAAAAACCCATGGAGTTTAAGCCATCTTTTTGTGCCCTAAGTAGAGCTCCATGGACTAAGAGCTACACTTCCTGTCTTTTCCACTTTTTCCCCTCGTTCTAGCTTAGAGCTTATCACCCTACTGAGAGCCTGTTCTGTAATTCAAAGTGGCAGAGAAAAATACAAACCTTGACTGAACTCTGGAGGGCAATGCAGGGTCATCCCCAGACATCAGGGGCCATATGCTAGACGTCTCCTGCAGCTTGGAGGCAGGGACTTGAATGGACTTCTTCCAGGAAACCCAGCCCATGGGGACTCTCTTAAAAGACACCAACCATTTCGAAGATGAAGCTTGAGGTCTGGGGGAAGTGGACTGATTCTGCGACTACTAAGTTAACATGAGTAACCAGGAGAAGGAAGTAAGGCACTCTGTGAGTCAGTCTACCACCCTGCTTGCTTTTACGGAGAGAAAACAAACTTTTTTCATGTGATCACACAGAAACTAGAATATCTCAACTGCTGTATTCTCTAAACAAATGCATGCGAAGCCTTGTAAACGTAGCTGACAATTAAATTTTAAAACATTAGGAGTTCTTAATATTTCCATACGTGGGACAGAAAGTGATTTAAATTTCATTAATTGTCCAGCCAAATTTATAGTGGTTGATGTGACAGGCACAGAAAAGACTCCACTGGAATGGAGGAGTGGACCGGCTAGTCCCCAGGCAAAACAGAATGGACTTTAGACTTACATAAATATCGACCAAAGTGGGAAGAAAGGCATCCAGTGAAAATTCTCTAGAGTCTCTACTCCTGCTCAAAAGAAGAGATTTCATCCAGCTTTCTCTAAAGCAATGCCAGACTCTCCACACATTTATTAGGTTAAAGATAAATAAATACTTTGGTTTGCCCGTCTCTTGAGGGGCCCTAGGCTATCTGGAGGAATATTCGTGAGCTGCCATTTGTGTTTAAAAGAACATGGAAGCGCACCTGTGTCTGTAGCTGACCACTGGGCCATCGCTTCCTTCCCCCAGACTTTACAGGAGCACCCCAAAATGTGACTCCCCAAGGTCCTGTGGAACAGTACCCTCATACTGCCTCCCCACAACTGTGTCTGACAATGCCTTAACTGAAGTAGCTCCTAAGTGAGGTTTAGAGGGAAGGAAATACTTAAGCAAGCCTATATGCAACATACTCACGGATGTGCTGGCTTCGCCATGCTTTCTGACTCTCCTGGTCCTAGTCACGCCTCGGTGCAGGGGGCAGAAGCGGCTGAGCTCTGCTGACAGGTGCTGCTGGGAGAGAGTAGCCGTTCAGCTGAGAAGGCATTTCTAGGCAAGGGTGGGCGAGCTGGCACTCTAGGCTGCTGAGCACGGCATCTGCGAACGTGCGAACGCACTGCGTTGCTCCACAGTCCGTCCAGAAGAGACCAGCATCTTGCATCTCAGAATCTGGGCTCATTCTTTGCCTCTGCCAAGGAGCCATTTAGGGGCTTCAAGCCAGCTGCTTAAACTCCCCCTTTTCTGGATTTTTCCCCATCTACATAAGGAAATGGTGGCTGTGTGGACAAGAAAGTGGTTGCATCTCAGTAGGGTGTTTCCCTACAAGTATCTTCAGAAATATAATTGTAAACGATTTTTGAACATTTTTTTGGCCAGGATGAATGAAGCTCAAGTCACATCCTCAATGTGCATGCTAGATAGCACATAAATAAGCAATCTTTATAAATGCCAATCCCTCTCACTCCAAAACTGGAGCCTGTAATGAAGGCCCAGGGCCCCCTGGTTGTCACAGAATCCCCCACACCAGCACAGTGCCTGACACCTACCTAGGCATTAGCGCACATCCAGCATGCTCATTTACATCCTCAGCATCTCTGCCTCCTACAGCCAGGGCTTAGACTGAGTGTTCCCAGAGTGTCAAGTACATTGAAACATATACCAGATGCTCCAGGTGTTTTGAGGTTTTGACCTGTCACAATGGCTTTTGAAAACAACAGATGTACAACTTGAGAGAGGGACTTGCTGGACTTAGGCCGAGGACCAAGGACATGTTGCTGCCCCTCTTGGTCCAGGACATTCGATACCATTCAGAGAATTCATCACCAGTTGGCACAGTAGCCAATCATGACATTCAACTGCCTGAAATTACTCTTTTGGTCAAAAATTAAGATATCAGAAATTACACCTACATAGTATGTCTCCTCATTGGAGTCCCATCTCTCTGAGCACAGAGGTGGGCTCTTAAGCTCATGGCCCTGCCCCATCCCCCTCAGGGCCTCACCATAGTGGCCCTCAGTGAACAGTGACTGCATGAAGGGGGCACTTACTAGAGGCCTGAGTAATGGAATTTCAATTATCTTCTGATTCCCTTACCTAAAAAGAACCACCTTCCTCAAGAACAATTAGGCCAAAATGAACTTGAGTGCTTTGTGCAGTCAATACTTTGTCATTTTGGAGTTACCAGTAAAAAAGCAAGCTGTTCTCCGCGAACAGACATGCAGGTTCCCGGCCAGGCCTTCCTCACCTCCTGCAGCCTCACCCTAGAGGGTTAATACAAAGGTTGTGAATGGGTTAAAAAGCAGTTCTTCAGCACCTGCTTAGATCTTTTCAGTATCTGGAAATATCCACCAGGGCTGTTAGTAAAGCTTTTCATTGGGTAAGACTCATAGAATTTTTACATTTGATATTTTTTTAATACAAGGCAGTATTGTTTTACACGTTGGAATGATGAGGTATTTTTGACATTTATGGCACCTCTGTTTCTGTTGAATTTTAAGGAGGTGAGTGGCATGAACACAAAGGTTGCTGCATAATAATTCCTTTGCATTTCAAGAATAAATTATTCAAATGTCACTTTTCCTTTTTCTATTCCATAATACTAGTTTTAGCCAGATCTTTGCCAAACATTCTAGGAAATTCAGAAAAGTCATCCATGGAATTTCGGAATGCCATTCTCTGTCTGTGCACGTGATGAGGAAGGAAAGGTGATGAACTAGCACAGGGTGGCCCAGACTTGCAAAGTGTCTAAATCACAACACTACAGAGCCAGCTCCCAGGTAAGAATGGCATAGCCTGGGACGACCTAATGCTACAGCTGGAGCTTCCTGACTTGCATCTGAGGCAAAAACAGCAAGGCTGGCCCAGGCCTCCCACAGGCACACAGGCAATAGATGTTGATGGGAAACGGAGCAGCCCCTCTTTTGCTTGTTCTATCAAAGAAAGAGGTCTAACCACAGGCAAGGGTGGAACACACTTGGCTCAGGTCAGGGAATGAGTTGCTCTAAGTGAACAGTGAATGCTTACCTTTCAGCCTGCATCAGCTGTACCCAGGGTTCGTGATGCTTGTGAACCACTAAGGGATGATCTTTGAGGAAACAGACTTGGAGGGAGGCAATTTAAGGACGGAAGGTGAGTGGGTTATAGAGACTGCTTTGCAGCCACATTCAGGAACGGAGCATTCAATGGCTGACTTTTGAGTACATAAAAGCAAGCAGTAATGGCTAGGAGAGAGCAAAGATGCCCTAAGAATGACATCAGTCTGACCAAATGTGCCTTTTCAAATCAGTCATGAGAACTAATGAACTGGAATTATAGCAAGGTATTGGACAGAACCATGCTAGCCTTTGAGAGAATGTGTGTATTGGGTGGATGTTTGGATTGGATGAATGGTAACTTTTTAATGTGAAACAGAGAGCTGATATATGGGCTGTCATGTCAACCTGGGGTACTGTCCCTCTGTCATGTGTAGCAATCTTTCCAAATTTTTGTTGTTGGGTTGAACAAAGATAAAACTAATAAAGTATGTGGTGGACACTACTAGACAGCACAGCTTACTGGACTGGATGAAATCAAACTATAACTTGGGAAACTGCGTATCTCTCCACTGCCTCACCCAGTGTCTTCAGGAAAAGTGGAAAGGATCTGCAGTGGACCCATGCCACCTCCCTTGCCTGGTCCAGGCCATTCTAGCCCTTTGCACCAGTGCCCCACCTCTTCCAGCTTGACCATGGTGCCATGCTCTCCCCACCCCTCTCCCCAGGTCTCATTCTTTCTCCTTCCTTGAAATGAGGCATTCCTCAAGAGGGCTGTCCTCTGAACTTCACTCTCTAAGCAAATCCCCCATCATCTCTCATCAGGATGTGAGAACAGGGCTGAGGGTGGAGTCTGGGGCATGTCTCACATTTAACTACCTATTCAAGCTTTGTTTGTCTCCCTGGTTACAGACTGTATACTCCATGAAGGCAGGGATGTCTGCTGAATTAAGATCAGTGTGAGTCCACAGCATGGGATGCTGCTCTTGATACTGTCAGAACACCCACAGCAACTGTCAGTTCTGACATTCTTTAAAAAGGTTCAATAAACTGAAGCGAGGCCTGAGAAAGCCAAGACAGTTTCAGAAAACTATTACAGAAGGAACTTGGGAAGCAGACGTGAAGGACTTACAGTGAGGGGAGACAGCAATATTCAAATATATACAGGAATAGTCACGTATTGAGAACACGAATAAGCAATATGACGAGGCTGATTTCGGCCCAAAACAAAAAAATGTTGTACAGCAATTCAAGTAACTCTGAAGAGGAAGGAGAGAGTGGAGGAGGATGATGAGTGAAGAACGAATAAAATGCAATATAAACAGGACATCCTTGAGTTGTGAGACAAAGCAACCCTGTCAACTTTAAGGAGAGAGTTGACATGAAAAATGCAAGGTGGTGAGAAAACCACAGAAGTGGCACATGTGTCTGCAGTAAGTCACTGAAACAGGAATGATTCCAACGGAATGACTAAGAATGAACTACCTAACGATATATGAAAAGAACTGTGCTTCTATGATTGACAAGAGCTGTCTCAAGAAGACAAAGTGTGACTTGACAAAATGCCAGAACACTGGAGCGGGTTACCAGAGGACTTGCCCCAGAGTGGAAAGCCTGTGACCCTTCTGTTAATTCAGGGAGGCTGGGGATTTGCGAGTCTATTAGGTTACAGAGATGGATGACATGATAAACATTATAAGCACTACCTGTCTTGGGAGCTTCCATCACAACATTAGATCAGTGACTTGCCATGACCTCAGCCACCACGCTAAGAGGATACCTGATTCAGCACATGGCCAATAACAAACTGATCCCTTCCAGGAAAATATGTTGATCTTTTTAACAGGAAAAAAAGAGCAAGCTTCAAAGGACAGACTCATACTCTCCTGAAGGTAGAAATGCAGTTTTGAACAGCAAGCTGAAACTCTTCTTGGCCATTCTGGACTTTTGTAAAAGCTTTTAAAACCTAAATAGAGTCTGTAAACATAAAGGAATGTCCTAGGATCTTAATGGCTGCTGTGCCCTGGGCAATGACACCTCATTTTGGCGTCAACACACAACATGCCTTTGAAAGTCCTGCTTTAGAGCTGCCTTCGGCATCCTGTATAAACCAGTTTTGTTATCTCACAGCTTCCACACCTAAGCAGAGTCCACCTTTTTACTGCAGTATAAAAAATGTAGAAATGAGGTAGCATTATACATCCTGTTCCCAGAGGGGATTGCTTCTGAAAGAGGATACTCTTTGATATAAACTCTGCTAGACTAAGAAAACACTGTTTCTTAATTTTACTTAGTGCTCTAGAGCAGGGGTTGGCCAATTCTGGCTACAGCCCTACCTGGCCTGCAGCTTGCTTGGTAAATCAAGTTTTGCTGGGCACAGCCACATCTATTCACTTGCACACGATCGATAGCTGCTTTTGCACCACAACAGCAGAGCTGAGTTGTTGTGACCAAGACAGTATGGACCACAAGACCAAAAATATTCACTCTCTGGCCCTTTCCTGGAAAGGCCCAACAACCCTGTGGTAAGGAATGTAATGCCCGCAGACTGAGGCTGATATGTAGAAGGGAAGAAAAGCTACTCTGCTTTCATATTACTTTTTCTTATTGAGAAACCACCTTTAGAATGTGTTCAAGATATAAGCTCTATTTTTAAAAATGGTCTGGAAGATTATTTTTACTATCATTTTTGTCTTGACCACTTTCTGTCTCAAGAAACTTTTAAAGATGAATAAATTAAACCCAAGGCATGCAGAAGGAAGCAAACAATAAAATTAATATGGAAAAAAATAGAAACCAGCAAAACAAGAGTATTACTGAAATCGGAAGTTGATTATTTGAAAAGGTCAACAAAACTGATAAACGATTAGCCAAGAAAAAGAAAACACAAATAGAAGCAGACTTCACTACCAGCCTTAGAAAAACGAAAAGTAGGATTAGGGAATACCATGAAGAACTGTATGTCAACAATAGACAATTTAGCTAAAGTGGACAAATTCCTACAGACTTAAATTACTGACACTGACTAGAGGAGAGAGTCTGGAGAAGGAAAATAGCAGACGAGAGGCAAGACTAACTTGCAGCCCCACTTGGATGGACAAAGCAGTGTCTGGAGACTCACATCATAAACTTTTGCTCCAGGAACTACCGCAATAATATACCAGCAAAGTCAAGAGAATCCACAGACCCTTTGAAGGAGGTGGATTGCCGCTGCATGCTCCGTGGGACAGCCGAAGAACTGTAAGCCTGCTTGCTTTCTCAGCTGGGAGCTTTGTAGCCTGGGACAGGTCCTCTGCCCTGCTCACTGGCTGCCTAGAAGCAAACTCCCTGCTTTTGTTGGGGGCATGGTGGGAGTGAGATCAGCCTTTTGGGAGATGGGTGAGGCCTGTGACTGCCAGCTTTCCCCTACTTCCTGGGTGACCTGTGTGACACAGCAGAGGTGGCCATAATCCCCCTGGGAACACAACTCCATTGGCCTGAGGACCAGACTCCCATCCCCTACAGCAGCCGCACCAAACCCTGCCCAAAGAGAGGCTGAGCTCAGATCCATCTAACCCTGCCCCCAGCTGATGATTTTTCTCTACCTGCCCTGGTAGCCAAAGACAACATAATCTCTTGGGAGCTCAATGACCCTGCCCATTGCCTCCTCTGCCCTATACTACTGTAGCTGATGTGCTTTTGAAAGTGCGACCTCCTCGCTGGAGGCCAACCAACACAAAACCAGCTCACTTAACAAAAATAAAACCAAGGACCCTCACAAAGTCCACTTCATTCCCCTGCTGCCTCCACCAGAGCAGGTATCCATGGCTGAGGGACCTGAAGATGGATCACATGACAACAATCTTTGCAGACACTCCCCAGGACCAGCCCAGAGCCTGGTAGCTCCACTGGGTGACTAGTTCCAGAAGAGAAATAACAATCATTGCAGTTCAGCTCTCAGGAATCCCCATCCCTAGGGGAAAGGGGAGACCACCACATCAAAGGAGCACCCCGTGGGACAAAGGAATCTGAGCAGCAGCACTTGAGTCCAAGATCTTCCCGCTGACATAGTCTACTCAATTGAGAAGGAACCAGAAAAACAATCCTGGTAATACGACAAAACAAGGATCTTTACCTCAAAAGGTAAAGTGTACTAGCTACTAGCCATGAATCCAAATAAAGACAAAATCTCTGAACTGCCAGAAAAAAATTCAGAATGTCGACTGTTAAATCGAGGAGGAACCAGAGAAAGGTGAAGTCCAACTTAAAGAAATAAAGAAATAAAAATGGTATCCTGTATCATTTTATAGGATATGAACAGAAAAATCTCCAGTGAAATAACCTAAATAAAAAACAGTCACAACTTCTGGAAATAAAGAACACATTTAGAGAACTGCAAAATGCATTGGAAAGTCTCAACAGAATCCAACAAGTAGAAGAAAGAACATCACAGCTTGAAGACAAGGCTTTCAAATTAACCCAATCCAACAAAGACAAAGAAAAAAAAAAAGAATTAAAAACAATGAACAAAGCCCAAAGCCTCCAAGAAGTTTGGGATTACGTTACATGATCAAACCTAAGAATAACTGGTGTTCCTGAAGAAATGTACAAGTCTGAAAAACATGTTTGAGGGAATAATTAAGGAAAACTTCCTTAGCCTTGCTAGAGATCTAGACATCCAAATAAATAAGTTCAAAGAACACCTGGGAAATTTATCACAAGAAGATCATTGCCTAGGAACATAGTCATCAGTTTATCTAAAGTCAAGGAAAGGCTCTTAAGAGCAGTGAGGCAAAAGCATCAAGTAACCTATAATGGAAAACCTATCAGATTAACAGCAGATTTCTCAGCAGAAACCCTTCAAGCTAGATGGGACGGGGGTCCTATCTTTAGCCTTCCTAAACAAAACAATTATCAGCCAAGAATTTTGTGTCCAGCAACTAGGCATCATATATAAAGGAAAGATAGTCTTTTTCAGACAAACAAATGCTGAGAGAATTTGCCATTGCCATGCCAGCACTGTAAGAACTGCTAAAAAGGAACTCTAAATCTTGAAACAAATCCTGGAAACACATCAAAACAGAACTTCTTTAAAGCATGAATCTCACAGGACCTATAAAACAAAACAATGAAGAAAAAAAGTATCCAAGCAACAAAGAGCATGATGAATAGAATAGTACCTCACAGGTCAATACTAACATTGAATGTAAATGCTCCAGTAAAAGATACATAATGGCAGAATGGCTAAGAATTCACCAACCAAGTATCTGCTGTCTTCAAGAGACCCACCTCACATATAGAGACTCATATAAACTTAAGGTAAAGGGGTGAAAAAAGACATTCCAAGCAAATGGACACCAAAAGCAAGCAGGAGTAGCCATTCTAATATCCAACAAAACAAACTTTAAAGCAACAACAGTTAAACAAGACAAAGAGGGACATTACATAGTGATAAAAGAAACAGTCCAACGGGAAAATATCACAATCCTAAATATATATGTACCTAACACTGGAGCTCCTAAATTTATACA